GGAGGGGTCTGGTCGGTAAGGGTGATGGAGGGGGAGGGGTCTGGTCGGTAAGGGTGATGGAGGGGTCTGGTCGGTAAGGGTGATGGAGGGGGAGGGGTCTGGTCGGTAAGGGTGATGGAGGGGTCTGGTCGGTAAGGGTGATGGAGGGGGAGGGGTCTGGTCGGTAAGGGTGATGGAGGGGTCTGGTCGGTAGGGGTGATGGAGGGTTCTGATTGCCATAAGTTATGCAGGGGGGAGGAATTGCTGGGACTTGTAGTCCTTCGGAGGGAGGATGATGACGGCAGTAGTACCTCTGGCTCGGCCTCTCCTCGACTCATCCCTCCGCTTCCTCCTTCCAGTCCTGACTGTAGGCAGTCACATGACCAGATCATATGACGGGAGGGGGCGGAGATAACGGATCTCTGTCCCCGCCCCTCCATGTTCTTAGGCTCGGCTAGCGGTGCGGGGGCTTAGTGATTAGCTGGGCGTGTCCATTATAAAAGGAAAGAATGAATGTGATTGGTTGTTCTCCTTGTTCCCGGATTACCGGAAGTCTGACCCGGGGAATATGCGAAGATGACCCCGGGGGTCTGTATTGGGGTATCAGGCTGAATATCGGGGTGAAAGTGAGCTGCAGTAGGTCTCCAAGACTCGGCCTGACACCCCAATTCTCATCCTGACACCCCTATATTCAGCCTGACACCCCTATATTCAGCCTGACACCCCTATACTCAGCCTGACACCCCTATGCACAGCCTGACACCCTATGCACAGCCTGACACCCCTATACTCAGCCTGACACCCCTATGCACAGCCTGACACCCCTATGCACAGCCTGACACCCCTATGCACAGCCTGACACCCCTATACTCAGCCTGACACCCCTATACATAGCCTGACACCCCTATACATAGTCTGACACCCCTATACATAGTCTGACACCCCTATACTCAGCCTGTCACCCCTATACATAGTCTGACACCCCAATACATAGCCTGTCACCCCTATACTCAGCCTGACACCCCTATATTCA